ATAATTGTGATTAAAAATTATTATAATATTTAGTTATTTATTTCATAAAAATATTATAAATGAAATATGATAAAATTTATTAATTATTAATTAAAATTTTAAAAATATTATAAAATATATAATTATTAAAATATATAAAATAATAATAATATTCCTTAAGAAAATCCTTACCACTCCTTGATTCACCATTGCAAAAAGAAAAATGTAGAAGTGATTCGAAGGAAAGAATAGAGTAAGGGAGAGCAAACTACTTGCTGCTTGATCCACCACTCTAAGAAGAAAAATGTAAAAGTGATTAGAAGAAAAGAAGGGAGCAAAGGAGAGCAAGAACTACTTGCTACCAGAAGAGGAGAACGAAAATTAAAGGAGGAAGACCAAAATGAAAGGGGAAGGGGTTATCCGCAGGCAATAGAAAACTTATTGACGAGATCCATATTGCTGCCGTTTAAAGCTAATCATCTCTGCATTGCTATAGAATTGTAGTTGACCAGGACAATCACCGATGAAGCTTTGGTTGGCAACTTTATTTACCAACTTCAAACTTGTTGGTAAATTGCCTAAAAACCTGCAAAACCAGGCTCGAGCAAGTCAACCGAATTCATGGGGGGTTCCATTGGCAAATTACCGATGAATATAACGTTGGACATTTTAACAAAAAGTTGGAACACCTGTAGCAAGTAGTCGGATTTGCAGGATAAGTTGGTCTTCCATTTCACCGATAAGAAGCACGTCGATAACTGGAATAAAAGGTTGCAACTCCTGCCACAACTAGCTGGAGTCACGGGGAAAGTTAAGTTTGCGAAATTACCAACAAGAAGCACTTCGGTAATTTCTGTTTTAGTTCGTCGATCGCTAGATTGAATATTGCATGATATTACCAACAAATAACACGTGTGCATTGTTTTAATTTATCGACAAAGATCTTGTCTGACCCATGCTTGACTCATAAATAATATATATTACTCTTAATTTAACTGTTCCCAGAGTTTCAGACATGTTGCTTGTCAGTAAACTTTCAATTTACAGAGGAAAATTGTTAGGTCGGTGATTATAGGTTGATGAAGTTGAGTTTTCTAATAGTGATTGGTTCTTTTAATTTATGTGGGATCTGTCATATTGAATACATCCACTCATTTAATGACATGTGGAAGTTATATAAAAAGATGGGATAAAAAGGTTGTTCATATAGCACTATCCTTTTTTTATTTAAAAATATTAGGTTTGTCAGTTTTTAAATAACAATATTAACTTTTAATTTTTTTTATTTAAGAATGTTAAGTTTTAACTTTTACTATTTAAGGATATTAATTTTTAATTTTTTTATTTAATAATTAATTAGATGATAATACTAACATAACAAGTGGATTTTGATATTAACTTTTAACCTTTTTTATTTAATAAATTAATATATAAAAAATTATTTAAAATATTCAA